TGAGGACCAGATCACACGCCTAGACCACTGAGATAGACGTATGTGGTATCTAAGTTCCATCATCTTTGTCATCAAAACCTGAAAAAATCCAATTAAGTACCAGACCTTCAACAGCCATAACACTATATGATGAATAAAGAACTTTATTTTCTGGTTCTGTCCTAGTCAGCAGTCCATTACATTTCTGATTCCATACTAACTTCCTACTTCTTACTGTTAACAGATTGATCTTTAAAGAGTGAAATGTTTAAAAGCCACAAAAAGTAAAACAGTGACTAATAATAAACATGCTATTGTGAATTCAAGAAAAAGACTGTCTGTGGCCTTAAATGGATTCATAAAGACATAAGTATTCGAGACAATTTTTTAAAAATCTTACCCCAAGCCTGGAATTAACAGTGTTACTTCCTTATAAATTCTATGAAAAAATGTTTAGGTTCTTAAACAATTTACAAGATGTAGTTAATTGCTTTTATTAATAAATACTTTAACATTTTTATGTTACTTTACATATAAAAGATTATTAGGCCTCTCTAAAATATTTATCTATAATAACACAATGAACTTATTTAATTAAAAATCCAAAAGTGCAGTTCCACAAGCTATTTTATAAATCTTTACCTTTATCAAATAGTTTTGAATCAAACATAATTTTTAAATGCAGCTTCCTGCTTTTCTTAATTCAGGTTTTAATATTTGGTATTCAAGCAGCTAAGAATACAATCATACATATTAATAGGTCTGAGATACTTACAGAATCATAATAAAATCCAGTGCTGTGATCAAAATACAATCCAGTATTCTCATCATAACTAAATCCAGTCTGTGATACAGCAGCTTCTGCTGCAGCTCTCAAACTTTCAGCTAATGAAGAACCTTCTAAGGATGTATCTTCTGTTGCTAATGCAGATGCTGGCTCCTAGATAAGACAAAATGATTTCAAATAGACAAAAACTTCCTCGTGTCAACAGAAGTTAAAAGAATTTGAAACACTAAACAGACCTAAAAGAGACTGAATAATAAGACCTCAATTTCTGCAATGGAAGGGGATGGCTACCAATTACAATCTGATCCACTGATTCTGACCCAGTTTTGAAGACACTAAAATTGAGTGAGTGACCATTATATCAAAAATAAATGCCTGATACCATAGGGAAGCAATCCACGAAATACAGACTGAAATAGTCTTTAAGACAAATGATCTGGATTCTTCAATAATTACTGGTTCAAGAGGAAAAAATTTTAGAAAAGAGATAGAGAAGGCCATAAATTATATGAGATATACAACACATCAAGCAGTTACACTGTATGAAGCTTACTGGTATCCTGATTCAAACAAACTGTAGAAACAAATTTATAAAACCTTCTGGGAAGTTTGAACAGTGACAAGATATCTGACATAAAGGAAGCATTAAAAAAAAAACAACTGGTGTGAACGTAGTATTGTGGTTGTTGCTTAAATTTTCTGTTTAAGTCAAAACATACTGACAAATTTTCTTTAAGTTTATGTATATCATACATTTTTGGAACACAACAGAGTAGGAAAACAGTTACACATAAGAACAAGTTCTAATTTTTGTTTCTCAAAAACTGTGTTATTCACTGCATAATTACACACAGAATGTATACAACCCTTATACATGTTGTGATGAACCAAAGAATTGTCTATTTTTCTACATAATAATAGCAAAGGACAGGTTCTTGAGTATCAACAGTTTCAAGTTAAGCATTCTATTACCTGTGAATCTGAGGCAAAATGGTCCTCTTGCCCACATTTAACATTTTCTGTTATATCACTACCAGCATAAGCATCATTTTCTATGTGTGACTGGCCTTCAGAATTAAAAGTAGAAGCTTCGATATCCTGATCTTCCTGAACTGAGAATTCAGACACTTTATTTGAAAGAGTAACATCTTTATAGTATGTCTGATAATAATAATCTGCAGCAAAAAGAAATGAAGTGATATCACATTAGAATACTGTATATAAAAAGGACTTAATTCCAAAACATTGGCACTGAATACAAAACAACACATTGCAAACAAATCATATTTTTATAATTACACACATTTGAATAGATTAAAATGGATGGTGCAAGTACATCTGCAGAAGTATTTCTCTCTGATTCTAATATCACCTTCAGTACCCTAGCTATCAAGCTAAAAAGAAAAAAAGGGTAATGAGATTTGGATTTTCCACAGCAAGAGTAAAGAAACAAAACAAGTAGATAGCCTGTGTTCTGTCCAAAAAATTAAAAAAAATAGCAACTCTTAACAACTTCTAACCATACACCTTAGTATTGCTAAACATCAAATGACAGTGGACATCAAAGCTTGATTTTTCTCACAAATTTCCCTTATGATGCTGACTTTTTTAAAAAACATAGTATCATACAGATATGAAATGTTAATACTATTGCTTTATTTAGCAGTTTAGCTAAACTGCATACTGAATAAAAGGAAAAATTTAATGGGAAAGATCATTCTTTGTGATCCTTATTAATTAAAACTCAGCTGCTCAGTTATTTTGCCTCACAACATAAGGGCACTGATGAGGCCATGGTTGTAGGCTCATCACTTTTACAAGGGCCTAAGAGACTGACACTGAAGAGATGCTACGTGGAATGCATCAACAAGAAAACACATGCTCCTGGTCACAAGCAAGGCCAGATTAGAGTAGGTGGCTTACAGCACAGCAAAAATTATTCACTGAATGTGACACAGAAAGCATGTTAACATTATTATGTATTTATAGGAATGACAATACATTTCTACTTTTCCACTAAAACAGCAGATTATCTGAAAATGCCAAATCATACGGAGAAAAGTCAGCACTGCAACAGATCTCCTATTTATCTAGAAGTATGTATATTTTAAATCTAAAGGGAACTCCAGGTTAGCATGATTTGAATGTAAGAATATTAGGGTTATCTTCACTATAAGCTGAATACCTGAGCTTGACCAAGGAGGGTGGTTCTCTGTCTGTACTTCTACATCAGATTTTTTACTATCCTCGTTTCTTCCACAATGGAGTATTTTACTGAGCTCTTCTACCTGAAAGAAAATAAGGCCTTAGGAAAATTAAACCATACAACAATCTAACAATATACACACCATTCCTCTGAAATCATAGTAATTATTTTTCTTAGTAAAAATTTGAAGAAGTATCAATAGCAGCTAGTTTCCTTTTCGGAAAAGCTCAAAACGCTGTAACTGGCTTTCACTTTTTACATTTGCAGAAGGAGACGGTTTTATTCTTACATGCTCTTGCTAAACCTCAAAATTCCCCTCCAGAAGTAAGAATGACTAAATTAGTAGGACTTTGTGAATGGGATCCTTAATTTCTAACAAATAGGGGTGTCTTTATACCAATATTTTATTCAGGCAGCAGTTCTCCCTAAGAAAAATTAAACTGTTGATTACCTAGTGTAATTCAGTGTTCTCCACCTAGAAGTACCCATTCACTTAAACAATGCCACTCATTAATGTATTTTTTCTTGAAATAACAATCTAATAACTAAATAACTGCAGCAGAAGGAAATAGAGATGACTGCCTCATAAGGGGCACCGGTCTTCCCTGTGCCTCAGTGAATGCCAAGGCCAGAGCAATAGGGCAGGAAAATATCTATAAACAGATGAAGAGCAGCCTCATCAACACCTGAGCCAGACAGAATCTCAGAGTGAGATGAAATCTATCATAAGCACAAAATTAACTAAGAAACAAACTTTTAAATATTTCTTTAACAGTACATAAAGCTAAAAAGAGAAAGGTGGTAAGACTGATTATATACGGATTACCTATGCACTTCACAGAACTATCAGATCTGCTGCTACTACCAGGGCTGGAACTACAGTAAAATAAGCAAGACACCTAAGGGCACAAATTTAAGAAGGAACTCACAACTTCATGTAAATATAGGCTCTGTACCTGAAAACGATGCCCCCTTAAACTTTTCACCCTACGCTACTGATTGCCTTGCCCTTGTCCTGGCTCTGGCTACTACCACTACTACCATAAATAAGATCATTTATTTAATATCTGCCACATGCTAGGCACTGTATTGGTTCTTTGGATAACATCTCATTCTTAAAACCACCTTAC